GTAGACGTGTTCAAGGGTCTTTGCATGCAGTACTAGGTCACATTCTTCAGCCTTTCTGTCTGTGCCAGGGATAATTTTCCACGTTAAAGGGTCTTTTGAAAGAATGATACTGTTTTTTGTGCAGAACAGTTTTGATAGATGGTGAAAGCTTTGTCTTTTTCAGTCAGTTTTTAGTTAAGTTGTTTGCTATTCTGTGTAGGGGGTTGTTGTTCATAAGCACCTTTTCTTTCATTCACTGGCTCTCTGACTCATGGATTGGTGTGCATCTCATACCTCCAGTGATGATTCTGAGACCAGTGTTCTGTATTTTTTCCAGTTTCAATAGATTTGATTTGGCTGCAATGGAGTATGCTCTCGTGCCACACTCCAGTTTTGGTTATACATATCCTGTGTGTACTTGTCGTACTGTGTTGGCATCTGCACCCCAGCTTGTACCGGTAAGCTTCTTCAGAAGTCTGAGCCGCAGGGTAGCTTTCCTTTGGGTGTCTTCAATGTTAGGTTAGTGTTTTGTCAAATTTTAATCCCAAATATATGGGGTTGTCCTATTTTAGAAGGCTGTTGCCTTCTCATTATAGGTCACCTTGTTCTAGCTTTGGGGAAAGAGAGAAAATAGTCGAGACGGTTTTGGTCTGGTTTATTGTGACTTCCTAAGAGTATCCATTTCTTATCTGTATTTATAGCTTCTTGCATTCTTGTTTTAGTTGTTCCTATGTGTTTAGCTTGGGTCCATATGGCATGTTCATTTGCATATAGGGTTGTGTGTATGTAAATTTTGAACTGTTTGGGGAGGTGATTGATGACAAGAATAAACAGGGTAGGAGATATAACATTGTGGGGGGGGGGGGGGGTTATTGATGAAAAGAATAAACAGGGTGGGAGATATAACACCTCCTTGAGGAACACCTTCTTCTAGTCTGACCAGCTTGCTCTTGCGTGTCTTCTAGTCCGACTCTCGCACAGGGTCTGTAAAGAAAGTGTCTAATCTAGGCAAGCATATGGACTTTTTATCCCATTGTGTGCTAGTTTTTGAGTCCTTTCTTACAAACCTTGTTAAAGGCTTTGGTCACGTGAAGTAAAGTAGCTAGCAGTTTGTATTTTTTTTCTGCAAATCAATTTCAATTTCTTGTGTGAGATAAAAGGTTTTTTTGTCAGTGCTTCTGTATTTTCTGAAGCCTGATTGGCTGTTTTCCAATATCTTTTTTCTTACAGGAAATTAAGTAACCTGTTTACTAATCTTGCCATGGTCTTTCCAAGGCAGCTTATGAAGTGGTGACTGAATTTGTTTTGTTTGGGCTTTCCTTTTTTTGACTATGTGGACTATTTCTGCCTTCTTTCATTCCTTTGGAAGTAGTCCCTGGGTCCAGGATTGACCAGTAAAGTCTAGAGTCATTGCCTACCACCTGGTCCCAAGTGTACTTTTATTTCATTTGTTATTTAATCAGGTCCAGGTGCCTTCCTTTTCTTAAGTGTTTTTAATGTTCATGCAACGTCTTGAGGACTGAAGAGTTTATTCATTATATTTTTTTTTTATTGTCTTGCTTTTAATTGGTTTTCCTCAGTTCTCACCTCACTTCTTTTTCTCCTCTGGACATGAAGATTTTGCCTTCCTCTGCAAAACTGTCAGCCAGCAGGTTTGCTGCTTGTTTACCAGTGAAAGTTTTCCCTCCATCTTCAGTGACAGTGTTGGCATGGCTGGTACTATTCTCCTGAGTTAGACTGTTTACTAGATGCCATATCTTTTAACCATCTTTCTCCATCTGTACTCTTGTTTCTGTGATTTTTCTTGCAGCTGTTGCAGTTATTGGGTTCAGAAGGGTTCATAGTTTTGCCTTTGACCTTGTGGGATTGATTTTTAGTGCTGCTTTGAATGTGATATTTGTATGAGTTGTGGTGATTTTTCTAATCTCATTGGCTGAAAAGAGCACCAGTCGATTCTTTTCAGTCAAATTTGTGTAGAAGTCCCAATCTGCTTTCTTGTAGTTCCAGCTGCTTTTCTTCTTGTTTTCTGGTGGCTTGACCTCTCCTATGATGACGACGACTAGTTTGCGATCGCTTCCTCCCAGCTCTTTCATTGCTTCTCTGTCTGCACATCTTTGGATGTTTTCTGTAGCTATAGCTAGGTCTGGTGTATTTTGCATTTTCCATCATCTAGAGTAGAAGGTTGGTTCAGAGTCAGATTCGTTGATTAGTTTCAGCAGGGTTTTCTGCCATCCATTACTCTATCTCCTCCCCTCTTGTGTCCATAGAAGCATAGCCCCAACAAATGGAATAACTACCGATGCCACTTGGCATGAACTATAAGAAGAAAAATGTGAAGAAAAAAAACTTGCCTCCATCCACCAGAGACTGGTGCGAATGCTTTCTTCCTGACCTGGAGGTACAATCTTTCTGAGAACTGAGTTTTCCTCATGCCCAGGACCAGAAACCAGCATGGCTGTGCAAGATTGGTATTGGAACTTCAGATCTGTGGAGAGGAATAGTAGGGCCTGATCATGGTGTGATTCAGGACAGCACATACAGACAGGCCGGGATTATGATTAAGTGGGTCATATTTCAGCAAACCACTTACTGATTGAAATGAACCGTTGACTGGTCATCCCCTTCCTTCTTCTTCTTCAGCATTCCGGGCCCTTGAGGTTCATTGCTGCAGATATAACCCGCCTCCATTCATCTCTCTGGTTGGTCTTCTTCAGCATTCCGAGTCCTTGAGCTTTCATTGCTGCAGATATCACCCGCCTCTATTCATCTCTCTGATTGGTCTTCTTCAGCATTCCAGGCCCTTGAGGTTCATTGCTGCAGATATCACCCGCCTCTATTCATCTCTCTGGTTGGTCTTCTTCAGCATTCCGGGCCCTTGAGGTTCATTGCTGCAGATATCACCCGCCTCCATTCATCTCTCTGGTTGGTCTTCTTCAGCATTCCGGGCCCTTGAGGTTCATTGCTGCAGATATCACCCGCCTCCATTCATCTCTCTGGTTGGTCTTCTTCAGCATTCCGGGCCCTTGAGGTTCATTGCTGCAGATATCACCCGCCTCCATTCATCTCTCTGGTAGCCCTTCTCTTTCCAGTTGGTGATACCAAGTGTTTGCTGGTCTATCTGGACATTATCTCTCCACTGTCTTCTTGGTCTGCCTTGTGGTCCACAACCATTCATCTTCCGTGTGTATACAGTTTTTACTTCTCTGTCATCCCTTCTTTCAGTGTGCCCCAGACATTTAAGTCTATTTACTCTCATGATACCAGTGGTTATCCCTACACAAGTTATGATTTCATTGTCAAACTCCAGCCCACAGCCCATGAGATATGTTTGGAATACATGTTAAACCAACACATATTGTACATGACATATCTGTCTACGTTTCATTAACTGTGGGTCAGCGTGTCTATTTTTATGTATCTATTTCCCCACAGGACATAGTGTATATTCATGGATGTGTATCTATTTCCCTACAGGACATAGTGTATATTCATGGATGTGTATCTATTTCCCTACAGGACATAGTGTATATTCATGGATGTGTTTTTTATGTATCTATTTCCCCACAGGACATAGTGTATATTCATGGATGTGTATTTTTATGTATCTATTTCCCCACAGGACATAGTGTATATTCATGGATGTGTTTTTTTATGTATCTATTTCCCCACAGGACATAGTGTATATTCATGGATGTGTTTTTTATGTATCTATTTCCCCACAGGACATAGTGTATATTCATGGATGTGTTTTTTTATGTATCTATTTCCCCACAGGACATAGTGTATATTCATGGATGTGTTTTTTTATGTATCTATTTCCCCACAGGACATAGTGTATATTCATGGATGTGTATTTTTATGTATCTATTTCCCTACAGGACATAGTGTATATTCATGGATGTGTTTTTTTATGTATCTATTTCCCCACAGGACATAGTGTATATTCATGGATGTGTATTTTTATGTATCTATTTCCCCACAGGACATAGTGTATATTCATGGATGTGTATTTTTATGTATCTATTTCCCCACAGGACATAGTGTATATTCATGGATGTGTATTTTTATGTATCTATTTCCCTACAGGACATAGTGTATATTCATGGATGTGTTTTTTATGTATCTATTTCCCTACAGGACATAGTGTATATTCATGGATGTGTATTTTTATGTATCTATTTCCCTACAGGACATAGTGTATATTCATGGATGTGTTTTTTATGTATCTATTTCCCTACAGGACATAGTGTATATTCATGGATGTGTTTTTTATGTATCTATTTCCCTACAGGACATAGTGTATATTCATGGATGTGTTTTTTATGTATCTATTTCCCTACAGGACATAGTGTATATTCATGGATGTGTATTTTTATGTATCTATTTCCCCACAGGACATAGTGTATATTCATGGATGTGTATTTTTATGTATCTATTTCCCCACAGGACATAGTGTATATTCATGGATGTGTATTTTTATGTATCTATTTCCCTACAGGACATAGTGTATATTCATGGATGTGTTTTTTATGTATCTATTTCCCTACAGGACATAGTGTATATTCATGGATGTGTATTTTTATGTATCTATTTCCCTACAGGACATAGTGTATATTCATGGATGTGTTTTTTATGTATCTATTTCCCTACAGGACATAGTGTATATTCATGGATGTGTTTTTTGTGTATCTATTTCCCTACAGGACATAGTGTATATTCATGGATGTGTATTTTTATGTATCTATTTCCCCACAGGACATAGTGTATATTCATGGATGTGTATTTTTATGTATCTATTTCCCCACAGGACATAGTGTATATTCATGGATGTGTATTTTTATGTATCTATTTCCCCACAGGACATAGTGTATATTCATGGATGTGTATTTTTATGTATCTATTTCCCCACAGGACATAGTGTATATTCATGGATGTGTATTTTTATGTATCTATTTCCCTACAGGACATAGTGTATATTCATGGATGTGTTTTTTATGTATCTATTTCCCCACAGGACATAGTGTATATTCATGGATGTGTATTTCAGTGTGTCTTAGTGTTTATTTGTCTCTCTCTATTTCGACCAGAAATGCTGGTGTGTATATGTTTTTGTCTGTAGTTGAACAGATGTCTTTCTGTCATGATTTCAGCCAACAGTTAATACCCATCCACCATATGGAAGCCCATGCACTGACTGCCCGGATGATTGACAGGTATTTACATCTCTTTTGTACTTCTACAGTGAGAGGTTCAGTCCATTTTCATGTTCATTTCATAGACAAGTCTCTACAGTGAGAGGTTCAGTCCATTCTCATGTTCATTTCATAGACAAGTCTCTACAGTGAGAGGTTCAGTCCATTCTCATGTTCATTTCATAGACAAGTCTCTACAGTGAGAGGTTCAGTCCATTCTCATGTTCATTTCATAGACAGGTCTCTACAGTGAGAGGTTCAGTACATACTCATGTTCATTTCATAGACAGGTCTCTACAGTGAGAGGTTCAATCCATTCTCATGTTCATTTCAAAGACAAGTCTCTAAAGGAAGAGGTTCAATCTCTTCTCATGTTCATTTCATAGACAGGACTCAAGAAAGTGAGAAGTTCGTTATATTCTTCCCTTGTATATCCCTGGTCCTGTTCATCTTTCCTTGTATAGCTCTGGTTCTGTTCCTCTTCCCTTGTATATCTCTGGCTCTCTTCCTCTTCCCTTGTATATTTCTGGTTCTGTTCCTCTTCCCTTGTATATTTCTGGTTCTGTTCCTCTTCCCTTGTATATTTCTGGTTCTCTTCCTCTTCCCTTATATATCTCTGGCTCTCTTCCTCTTCCCTTGTATATCTCTGGTTCTGTTTCTCTTCCCTTGTATATCTCTGGCTCTCTTCCTCTTCCCTTGAATATCTCTGGCTCTCTTCCTCTTCCCTTGTATATCTCTGGCTCTCTTCCTCTTCCCTTGTATATCTCGGGTTCTGTTACTCTTCCCTTGTATATTTCTGGTTCTGTTCCTCTTCCCTTGTATATCTCGGGTTCTGTTACTCTTCCCTTGTATATTTCTGGCTCTCTTCCTCTTCCCTTGTATATTTCTGGCTCTCTTCCTCTTCCCTTGTATATCTCGGGTTCTGTTACTCTTCCCTTGTATATTTCTGGTTCTGTTCCTCTTCCCTTGTATATTTCTGGTTCTGTTCCTCTTCCCTTATATATCTCTGGCTCTTTTCCTCTTCCCTTGTATATCTCTGGCTCTCTTCCTCTTCCCTTGTATATTTCTGGTTCTGTTCCTCTTCCCTTATATATCTCTGACTCTCTTCCCCTTCCCATGTATATCCCATAATATTTCATGATGTGCATCTGAGAGAACTTTTGACATCCTTTGATCATGGAACATAAAGATCTCAGTTTATGAATTAATACAGGCTACTGGAGATCATTCATATGGAAGAATCGTATTGCCCAAGCCAGTTGGCAAGATACTTGATGATGATGGCAGTTGTTCTGTACAGAAACAGGAAATGTTTGCTTTGTAAAATGGAAAAACCTGATTATCCCATGTAATTATTTTCTCTATTTCTTTTGCCTTATCTTCTAGGATAGACTTTCCTTTTCTGGTGCTACTGGTCAGTGGAGGTCATTGCTTGCTAGCTGTGGCCAGAGACATTGATGACTTTTTACTGTTAGGCTCATCACTGGACTCTGCTCCTGGCGAAGCTTATGACAAGGTATTCAAACAGGCCCTTTGTGTTTTGTGTGTTCTTTATCTCAAACTTGTTCAGTTGTTTTCTAGACATACTTGGAGTCCTGTTTATATAATCAGCTTATTTGACCTATGATGAGAAATTTGATGTCATTGTTCAGTCAGGCAAGCATGAGCCATCTTTACAACAAAGGATGTCTTGGAGATCATTCACATTGCTAATTACGAATGGACATTAGAGCACTCTGGACACCCCCATAAACCCCCATAAGTGCTCCGTCACCATCTCCAGCAGCAAGCGAAGAGTTAAAACTTCTGATATACCAGTAACTGTCTGATTGTATATCTTTTTGCCTTTCCCCTAAGTGTTGAGTGTCTCCTCTCCACTCCTCTCCTTGCCTAAATTTATCAAGCCTGCACACATGTCAGATTGTGTCTTCAGTTTGCACTATCCAAGACTTTCCTCTTTTCAGTCTGTGACCCTTAGCTCTATCCAGGGCTTCATGCAGGAGGTGCCTCTTGTCCACAGCTACTCTGAGATATGACTTTGCTTGCAGAATTTTGAGCCTACGGTTGCCTGTAACTGGTCGCCTATCTCTACCTTGGCTATTTGCAAGAACAACATTGGCAAATGTCAATATTCTTCCAAAACCTGGTGATTAAAGTTCTGCAATCTTGCTTGTATACACATTAAAGAGCACTGGTGAAATGGCAGAACCCTGGGGTAGTGCCGGGGCGATGGTACATGGTTCTGAGGTCCATGTACCCAGGCGAAGGGCAACCATATTTTTTTTTGTTTAAGGGGAGGAGAGATGTAATGATGTTATAAATAGGGATAATGTCAGGGGATAATTGGCATAACTGGGGAAGTCCCTGAGAGCATGGGTTTCACGGAGATATGGTGAAACGACAGGAAAGAGTGTGTCACGTGTGAATGAGGAGATCTGGGGGATTGAGAATCAGGCGGGCATTCGGTGACTGGGCCCCAGAGAGAAAGGATGGAAAATGAAGCTGTGAAGATGAATGGAGAATGACTAGAGTATGTGGATCTGAATCGGCGAGGAATGAATGTTCGAGAAGGCCAGCTGTGATGGTACCCTGTTTGATTGTCAAAGCCAGCTGTGAATATGTCAACGTCTATTGTCCGAATGCTGTAAGTGGATTCACCTGTGATTTGTGTATTGAGCTAACGTGTAAATAAACTCGTGAAATGTGCCGCTGGTGTTAACCGTTGTTAGACGTTGTGTGACCATGAAGAGGATCATGTCTGCTTTGATTGAGTTGTGAACCTCTAGACATTAGAGCCAGTGTTAACTCTGCACCACAGATAGCCAGTGTGGAGGAGACACAAAAGGGCAGTCATTACAGTATTCATCTTTATATTTAGTAGCCAGTGCAAGAGTTCCATTTCCTATTGTCCCAGTAACAAACAGTCTGATTGTATGACTGTCATGCCTTTCCGTAAAGTGTTTGCCAGATCCCCTTGTCACTCTCTGCTGTCTTGCTATCTTGTCATTCTTTAATGTACCACCAAGGGGTAGAAAACCAGCCATTCTGTCTGTCTATCCAGGGTGTGGCTGTAATCATATTTGCCTTTCAGCATAAGATTTTGAAGAGGCATCAAGTGTGAGAATGAGAATAGGTTTGTGCTACGTATTTACGGACTCAGATATTCCATCTATCCATCAGTTGCATGGTCAACCTTTGGTTCTGCCTCTGTTGTTTCTAAGTGACTGGGCTTTCTGTGGTGCACTGCCAGGTGCTAGTCTTGACACAAGTCCAAACCATTTTCAGTGTACTCTAAGACATGGAACTTTTGTGTACTCTAAGACGTGGAAATGAGATCTTTTGTTTTTGAACACTTATATTTTAACCTTTTAAAGAAATTCAAAAGTCATTTTTATTTTCTCCCTCAGACGGCTCGAGAGTTGAATCTATACAAGCTGCCACAGTTTCAAGGCATGTCCGGGGGTCAGGCCATTGAACTGATAGCAGAAAACGGAGATCCGACAGCATTCCCGCTCATACATGTCATGTCCAACCGTGCCAGCTGCAACTTCTCCTTCAGTGGTGTGAAAATATCTGCCAGAAGACAGATTTTGGAAGAATATAAAAGATTAGGTACACTTCTTTTTTTTTTACATCTGCTTTGTGCTGCTAGGTGTCATAATATAGTTTAACAGATGGTTGATAAGTAGCAGAGTTGGTTTCCTGGTGATTTTGTGAAGTCTTAACTTGTCAGTGACTCTTTTAGGCAATCTTGTAAGTAGCAGAGATAGTTTTCTGGTGATTTTGTGGTCTTAACTTGTCGAGGACTCTTTCCGGCAATCTTTAAAGTAGCAGAGATAGTTTCCTAGTGATTTTGTGAAGTCTTAACTTGTCAGTGACTCTTTCAGGCAATCTTGTAAGTAGCAGAGATAGTTTCCTGGTGATTTTGTGGTCTTAACTTGTCAATGACTCTTTCAGGCAATCTTGTAAGTAGCAGATGTGGTTTTCTGGTGATTTTGTGAAGTCTTAACTTGTCAATGACTCTTTCAGGCAATCTTGTAAGTAGCAGAGATAGTTTCCTAGTGATTTTGTGAAGTCTTAACTTGTCAGTGACTCTTTCAGGCAATCTTGTAAGTAGCAGAGATAGTTTCCTGGTGATTTTGTGGTCTTAACTTGTCAATGACTCTTTCAGGCAATCTTTAAAGTAGCAGAGATAGTTTCCTAGTGATTTTGTGAAGTCTTAACTTGTCAGTGACTCTTTCAGGCAATCTTGTAAGTAGCAGAGATAGTTTCCTGGTGATTTTGTGGTCTTAACTTGTCAATGACTCTTTCAGGCAATCTTGTAAGTAGCAGATGTGGTTTTCTGGTGATTTTGTGAAGTCTTAACTTGTCAATGACTCTTTCAGGCAATCTTGTAAGTAGCACAGATAGTTTCCTGGTGATTTTGTGAAGTCTTAACTTGTCAGTGACTCTTTCAGGCAATCTTGTAAGTAGCAGAGATAGTTTCCTGGTGATTTTGTGAAGTCTTAACTTGTCAGTGACTCTTACAGGCAATCTTGTAAGTAGCAGAGATAGTTTCCTGGTGATTTTGTGAAGTCTTAACTTGTCAATGACTCTTTCAGGCAATCTTGTAAGTAGCAGAGATAGTTTCCTGGTGATTTTGTGAAGTCTTAACTTGTCAGTGACTCTTTCAGGCAATCTTGTAAGTAGCAGAGATAGTTTTCTGGTGATTTTGTGAAATCTTAACTTGTCAATGACTCTTTCAGGCAATCTTGTAAGTAGCAGATGTGGTTTTCTGGTGATTTTGTGAAATCTTAACTTGTCAATGACTCTTTCAGGCAATCTTGTAAGTAGCACAGATAGTTTCCTGGTGATTTTGTGAAGTCTTAACTTGTCAGTGACTCTTTCAGGCAATCTTGTAAGTAGCAGATGTGGTTTTCTGGTGATTTTGTGAAATCTTAACTTGTCAATGACTCTTTCAGGCAATCTTGTAAGTAGCAGAGATAGTTTCCTGGTGATTTTGTGAAGTCTTAATTTGTCAGACAATCTTGTAAGTAGCACAGATAGTTTCCTGGTGATTTTGTGAAGTCTTAACTTGTCAGTGACTCTTTCAGGCAATCTTGTAAGTAGCAGAGATAGTTTCCTGGTGATTTTGTGAAGTCTTAACTTGTTGATGACTCTTTCAGGCAATCTTGTAAGTAGCAGATGTGGTTTTCTGGTGATTTTGTGAAGTCTTAACTTGTCGATGACTCTTTCAGACAATCTTGTAAGTCGCAGAGCTAGAGCGTGCTCAGTTGATTGGTAGGTTGTTAGTTAGTTAATTGACAGACTATCCTCACTGCACATCGGACAAGTCCATAAGCACTACGATCCCATCTTCAGTATATCTCCTAGTGTTTGCTGACCGATAACACCAGTTCTGTGTTGGTTTACTATTCTTCTTTGACTACCTGTATAGTATTCATGTTTGGCAGTACATTTTTTGACCTGAAGTGCTTGTAGTCCTTTGAGTGTTGCCAACTTACCGTCATCTCCTTAATCAACTTCTTGACCTGCCTTCTTAACAGCACTGAGAATGTTGGCCTGGTCCATTGCTTTTCTTGTACTAGCAAGCCAGTCCACTCATTCATTCCCTCTTACCCAAAGTATCCTGGCACAAAATAAAACTGATTCCTTTTAGACAAGATTTCTTCCGTGACTCCAACCATTGTTTTCAAATCCACCGTGTCTCGATATTTTTAAGCATGCTCATGGAATCGCTGAAAAAAAGCTTGCTTAAGAAAAAGGATGTGTCTCCAGCCACATCATTGATTTTGTAGTTGGGGCAAAAGCACCGCTGTCTTCTTTTACAGTTTTTTCCTCAAAAAAAACCATGAAAGCCCATGAACTGTGTATGTGTTGAATGATGAATCCGTCGATGTAGATAACTGCTCCTCCGTAAGCAGAATTTTCAATAGTTACGGCTTGAACTTCTGCCTTAACCACCAACGGGCTTTGATATATTTGATGCAAGGTCACAACAGCTAGGTCTAAAAATCTGTTAGGGAAAGACAAAGAGAATGAGTATAAATCAGGAAGTAGTAATGTGGTTTCTCTTAGTGGCCAAGACGTGGAGTCGTACACCTATTTGGGCAGTTGTGTGGATAAAGATGGGTAGCTGATGGAGATATTAAAATACGAATACAAACGGTGAGAGGAGCTTTCGTAACACTAGGGAATTTGTGGAAGGCAAAAGAAATTAAAACTAATTCTAAATTGGTTTGTATTTATAGTTATCATTAACCAGTTAAAATGTTATTGTTTTGTATTTATAGCTGTCATTAACCTGTTAAAATACCTGTTTGTTTTTATAGCTGCCATTAACCAGTTAAACTACTAATTGGTTTGTATTTATAGCTGTTAGTAACTAGTTAAAATACTGTTTGTTTTTATTCATAGCCGTTATTAACCAGTTAAAATACTGTTTTTTTTTAATTTTTTTTATTCACAGCTGTCATTAACCAATTGTATAATCTAAGATGCTAACAGGCAGGAATGTCATCAGTCAAATTGATCCTTAATAACAAGCATTGTCAAATGTGGAACAGTTGTGAATATGTATGCCATGGGGCAATACACATGATGATGATGCATGCACTGATTCCTGATTCATTGTGGTTGTTGTCCTCTTGTATGTAAGCCACGAGGAAATCTTCTTTGACTGAAACATTTAAATAACCCAAACATTAAGACTTTGTGTCAGAAGAGTAGGTTGTCAGTGATTGAACATGTTTGTGTTACTGTTGCCCACACAGGACTTCCGGAGGACGCTGTTTTACCAAACTTGGCTGACATCTGTGCTTGGTTCCAGTACAATGTGGTCTACCATCTGGGCCGACGCTTGCAGCGGGCTTTTGTATTTGCAGAAAATCAGGAGCTCATAGGAGACAGCAAGACTCTGGTATTTTCTTCATGATTTGCATCTTTGGAAATATCATGTCAGCTCTGTACTTGCATGTTTGACTCCCATCCTTAATATCATCATTATCATCACATGTTTTGTCAAAAGACAGAGGTACTTATGTCTGTCCATAAATCACTTTTCTTGTGAGTTTTGGATCAGTTCTGTTAATTTTGTTGCTTCCTGCTCCACCCTTAGACCAAAGAGGTATCACTCCATGAGTGTCTGCCTCTGCATCATCTACCGATAATCTTTTCCCTTCATCGTCATATGTTCTGCTGTCTGTCTTCTCCTCACATGACCAAAGTACAATTTGTCTCTTTCTCGCAGCCACATGTAATGTTCAGCTTTCATCAACTTTTTCTTATAGTTACATATAATTTTCAACTCGGAAAGAACAAACGAACAAACAAACTTTATTTTCAAAGGGTTACAAATTGGGCACGCAGGCCCGTCTGACATTCGGCCCTTCTAAGCACTCATTTTTCAGAGTACCAATGCCTGTTATCAATAATGCATGTTATGGATATAATAAAGAAATATAAATTATTTAATAGTGCATACACACATCATGTGTACACAATCTTACACACTCACACACACACACACATATATATATATACACACTCTTACATTCTCATACATACCTAATACATAAATACAGGCATCTGCATACATACACAAACAGAAAACACACACCCATACATAGATATAAATGCACAAACAGAAAATAAACACACATACATGCACATACACACATTCATTCCATACATAAACACCTACACATGCATGCATGCATACACACACATACAGTCACGTGTAAATACACCCACAGCCACTCATTTACACTCACATGCATACATACAGAGAACTGTATATAGAGAACTGACCAGGCAGCTAAACAGACTTGCATGAAATAATAAGATCATTCTCCAGTTTATCCTGGCTCACTGCTGCATACCAGAAAATAGCAGGCAGACTTGCTAAAAATGGAACAAAGGAAAAACAACACACCCATCCATTGTCATTACCAGAAATCAGAACACTTATCAAGGAAAATACAAGGGATTGTGGAGAGAACAAAAAGTAAACATCCACATGACTCCATCAGCAAACTCAACAGAAAGCAACTTACAACAATTTTCCGTCTACAAACAGGACACTGCAGGCTCAACTGCCACACGCATAAAATAAAGATTGTACATTCCCCACATTGTGCATGTAAAACAACAGGACCACAAATACCTGAGCACATTCTATACACCTGCCCACTCTACATACAACTTTGAAAAGACACCTGGCCTCAAAAGCAAAGTGTGCAGAGCAAGCTATGGGGAACCAGGAAGGACCTGCAACTGACATGCGAGTTCATAGAGGCAACCCACCTGATGGTCTGAAGAACCGAACGCAAAGAAGTAAAAGAAATAATTTTCTAATTTTGTTAACTTTTTGTTATAGCCACATTTAATGTTCTACTTTCATCAACTTTTTGTTGTAGCCACATTTAGTGTTCTACTTTCATCAACTTTCTGTTGTAGCCACATTTAGTGTTCTACTTTCATCAACTTTTTGTTGTAGCCACATTTAGTGTTCTACTTTCATCAACTTTCTGTTGTAGCCACATTTAATGTTCTACTTTCATAAACTTTCTGTTGTAGCCACATTTAGTGTTCTACTTTCATCACCTTTCTGTTGTAGCCACATTTAGTGTTCTACTTTCATCAACTTTCTGTTGTAGCCACATTTAGTGTTCTACTTTCATCAACTTTCTGTTGTAGCCACATTTAGTGTTCTACTTTCATCAACTTTTTGTTGTAGCCACATTTAGTGTTCTACTTTCATCAACTTTCTGTTGTAGCCACATTTAATGTTCTACTTTCATAAACTTTCTGTTGTAGCCACATTTAGTGTTCTACTTTCATCACCTTTCTGTTGTAGCCACATTTAGTGTTCTACTTTCATCACCTTTCTGTTGTAGCCACATTTAGTGTTCTACTTTCATCACCTTTCTGTTGTAGCCACATTTAGTGTTCTACTTTCATCACCTTTCTGTTGTAGCCACATTTAGTGTTCTACTTTCATCACCTTTCTGTTGTAGCCACATTTAGTGTTCTACTTTCATCAACTTTTTGTTGTAGCCACATTTAGTGTTCTACTTTCATCAACTTTCTGTTGTAGCCACATTTAATGTTCTACTTTCATAAACTTTCTGTTGTAGCCACATTTAGTGTTCTACTTTCATCAACTTTTTGTTGTAGCCACATTTAGTGTTCTACTTTCATCAACTTTTTGTTGAAACCTACATTTAATGTTCTACTTTCATAAACTTTCTGTTGTAGCCACATTTAGTGTTCTACTTTCATCAACTTTTTGATGTATGTATTTTTGTATGTATGTATGTGTTTTTTTATCTATGTGAGTTTGTATGTATGTATTACGTACATATGTATGTATGTGTGTATGTATGTATGTATGTATGTGTGTGCATGTTCGTGTGTATGTGGATGTATGTGTGTACTGGGTGCCTATGTGTTTGTGTGTAAGTGAGTGATTGGGCTTGTGTGTGTATGTGGGTGTGTGTGTTCGCGCGTGAGCGTGCGCACATATTTTATCACCCATGCTGTTGTTTTTGACTTCATATCCATAATATGCATATCATTACATGAATATAACATGCTTCATTGATGAAATACAACTGCTGTGTGAAAGATGGAAGTTTTGAAGGGCCGAATGTAAGACAGGCCTGCGTGCCTAATTTGTAACCCTTTGAAAATAAAGTTTGTTCGTTCATTTGTTCGTTCCACTCATCAGAATGCTGCAGCTACTGCCTCAACCTCCATTATCATGCTTGATGTGGTAATGTCATATGCCAAACTCTTCAGTCACCCTTCTCCTCCATGCTTTTGCAACAAGGCATCATCCACTCTTTCTGCCCCATCAGTGTTAGTGAGTTTTTTTTTTTTTTTCAAACACTGGTAAATCACCATGGCTCTACTTTCCACATTTCTAAAACCAAGTTAAATGATCTTCTTCCCTCAGGTTGTGTCCGGGGGTGTGGCCAGTAATGCCTACATTCGATCTAACCTCCAGCATATATGTGCCAGTTATGACTACAGGCTAGTATGCCCTCCCCAAAAACTCTGCACAGACAATGGAATTATGATTGCTTGGTGAGTACTGGTAGTTTCTTATCACTTGCATAAGCACAGGAAATTTACGGGACAATAGAGCATTAGACGTGGACATATACAAAGTTGAATCTGTTCATAAAAATGTGAAGTGGCCAACTCTATTTTGTTTTTCACAACTGTGGGACTTATTTCACTGACTTGATCCAACCCATAATGTCCCAGCCGAGTGGGTGAATCTGAAGATTGTGGGTTCATGTTTGGACTGTATGCTTCAGTTGAAGAGCAGTTTTTTTCACAGATCCGTGGGGTTTGTTTGCTGGAGCTACAGAGTTTATCTATTATAATGAATGCTGTCTTCAGATGGTCAGCTACTCTAGAAAGAGAGACTGAGTAACAGAATAAAAGTCAGTTCATCGAATTAAACCCTCCCACCTTGGTCTTAGTTGAGGTTTCAGCTTCAGACTCTTCACTTTTAAACCCTTTCATCCAAAGAAGTAGAAAAACTGCCATTGTGGTTAGGTCCAATTTCTGTTATACGTCACTTGTCTCTAGTGACCTGTTTACAAGACATGCTATTGGCTGAGTTTGTGCCTGCACAAATGCTTAGGAGGTCAGTATATGAATATGTTAATTAACAATAGCATTGAAAAGGGTTTCCCTTTGAGCTAAATGCCATTTTTTAAAGCCAAGGTGATGTCAGATTTACTTGTAAGCTTCAGTGACAGAGGACACGGCATGAGTCACACGATACATTTGTGTGTGATTTTTAAATTTTTTTTCTAAAGGCTGCAGGAAATGTATTCTGTTTACTGCTTCACCCGGCTTGTGTTTATTGATTACTCCTTTTGTATATCTTTATATATATCTCCAAAAAAAAATTTTAATGTAGATAAATTTCCTAGTATCTTTGTTGAAAAAAAAAAATTTTCAAAGAATTTTTGTCTGGAATTTCATGACCTTTGTTTTTTAATTGAATTGTTCACCTGTTAAACCTTTAACTTTTTTGAAAGGTTCCACTTTAAACATTTTTTTAAACATTAATTTATAAGCCTTTATATTTCCTGCATGTCATTTCTGTGGTGTGAGCCGGGCATGTAAATTCATAAGTGGTTGTACTGATAGGTTCATCACCATGCCAACCAAATATTTCCCTAGGGATAAGATGTGCTAGTGACATCACTAACTTTCACTTCATGACTAAATCTTTTCATTGTTCTGTCATATATTTTTGTTTTTAACTTATACAGCAAATGTCAGTTGTGCATACAAACATGCACAAATCAATAGAAAACCTTTTGCTGTGTCTCTAATTAGATTTGATGTCTGGTTCTAGCTTCATGTTTTCACCTACGAATTAAATCTCTTTCAGTGGTTTAGTTATCTCAACAGCTGCCTTTACTTACCATTGCATTTCTATGTTCCCACTTTAGCCCAGTTCTGTTAAAAGTTCACCAGTTGTAAACTTGATCATCCCCGTGGACTTGCAGTCTTGTTCCAGATCTTGAGTTTTGTTTGCACATTCATTTGATATATCAGGCTAACTATTATACAGACTGCTTCTGGCTTCTCAAGCAGACGCAGTTGTACTTGGAAGTGAACACTCCTGATAAGTTGACTTGTACACACTCGATAGGGAGGCAGTGCATCTCTTCCTTTTCCCCCACAATGAAGCCACACAACCCACATGGGGAGAGCCCAGTTAATTTTTAAAAAATGTTGGTCTCACTAGGCATTTGAATATCTGGCCATCTGTGTGTACATGTAGATTTATTTACAAATATTTGTTCTTACAATCATGACACATATCCCCACATTTTACAGTAACATTTTTCACCATGACTCTTCAAGTCCTGTTCTTCATGCTGACTGACTTAAAACTGTAGTGGAAAGTGTTGATTGTTTGTCCACTTCTGCTGACCGACTATTAACTAGTGGAAAGTGTTGATTGTTTGTCCACTTCTGCTGACCGACTATTAACTAGTGGAAAGTGTTGATTGTTTGTCCACTTCTGCTGACCGACTATTAACTAATGGAAAGTGTTGATTGTTTGTCCACTTCTGCTGACCGACTATAAACTGTAGTGGAAAGTGTTGATTGTTTGTCCACTTCTGCTGACCGACTATAAACTAGTGGAAAGTGTTGATTGTTTGTCCACTTCTGCTGACCGACTATAAACTAGTGGAAAGTGTTGATTGTTTGTCCACTTCTGCTGACCGACTATAAACTGTAGTGGAAAGTGTTGATTGTTTGTCCACTTCTGCTGACCGACTATAAACTGTAGTGGAAAGTGTTAATTGTTTGTCTACTTCTGCTGACCGACTATAAACTGTAGTGGAAAGTGTTGATTGTTTGTCCACTTCTGCTGACCGACTATAAACTGTAGTGGAAAGTGTTGACTGTTTGTCCACTTCTGCTGGGATAGGACTCAAATGGAATGACAGAATCATGAATACAGAGCTCAGATATTGGGCTAAACAGTGCAGATATCACAGCCTAGCTGTCAACTACAACATATTGTGTCATTGGGTATGATAAAGGTTAACATAGAAAAATAAGAACAAGATGTGATGTTAAAACACTGGCACTAGATGAGACACACTGAAAAAACCTGATAATTGTGTTTATAAACAGTCCTTTGTATGCAGCTCTTGGAGGCAATTTCAAGAGGTGTCGAAAGATAGAAATGACTGACATGAGTTGGTTGAGGACCTAACCTAATGACAGGGAGATAAATAATATGTAAGGCACTTCATATGAAAACTTTAAAAGTGTGATAAAAGTTACAATAACCATCTCATAATCTGTCAGTATTCTTGTTAAAGATGTCAAGAGTGCTAAGGGCATAAAGTTATGAGACAGACAAATGATAGTTTAAAGATGGCCACACCACTTTTGGCATGTCCCAAAAAATAGCATTTTGTTATGTTTTTTGATCAGTGAAAGTTTGAAACCTATAGAAATTCAACAGTACGCGAAGATCCAGTATGGTGAACCTTGACTGATGTATGGCAGCATCATTCACAATCTGTCAGCCGTTTTCCTGTGCCTTCTTCTTCCTCTTTTTCTTCTTCACGTTCACGGGCTGTAAACTCGATTGGAAAGTTCTGGTTCTTCATCCATCTCTGCACTTTAATCTGATTCCAGAACCTGGTTGTGGGCACATCCATTTGACAGATCTGACTTATCTGTAATTGTTAATAACTTGCCTCTCAGGCAGATGCACTTTGACTTTGAAGAAAGTCACCAATTAGTCACATGTTTGTTGGGGCGGCAGTGGGTTCATTCTTGTTTTTCCCCACAATGGGACCCCGGAACCCACACAGGAATGGCTGCAGTTGACTCGAGGGTCATCTGTCGGTGTACCCGACCTGGTTATAGTCTGTCACAGAGGTTTGAACATTTGTTACGCCTCTCATACACTTGCTGGACTGACAGGCATGTGTCACATTACCATACACTTCCTGGACTCACACGCATTTGTCACATTACCATACACTTCCTGGACTCACAGACATTTGTCACATTACCATATACTTGATGGACAGACAGGCATATGTCACATCATCATACACTCGATGGACAGACAGGCATTTGTCACATCACCATACACTTGATGGACAGACAGGCATTTGTCACATCACCATATACTTCATGGACAGACGAGCATTTGTCACATCACCATACACTTGATGGACAAATAGGCATGTGTTACATCACCATACACTTGTTGGACAGACAGGCATTTGGCACATCACCATATACTTCATGGACAGACAGGCATTTGTCACATCACCATATACTTCATGGACAGACAGGCATTTGTCACATCACTATACACTTGATAGACAGACAGGCATTTGTCACATCACCATTTACTTCCTGAACCGACAGGCATTTGTGACATCACCATATACTTCCTGGACTGACAGGCGTTTGTCACATCACCATATAGTTCTTGGACAGACAGGCATTTGTCACATCACCATACACTTCATGGACAGACAGGCATTTGTCACGTCACCATACACTTGTTGGACAGACAGGCATTTGTCACGTCACCATACACTTGATGGACAGACAGGCATGTGTCACATCACCATATACTTCCTGGACTGACAGGCACTTGTCACATCACCATTTAGTTCCTGGACAGACAGGCATGTGTCACATCACCATACACTTCATGGACACACAGGCATTTGTCACATCACCTTACACTTGTTGGACAGACAGGCATTTGTCACGTCACCATACACTTGATGGACAGACAAGCATGTGTCGCATCACCATATACTTCCTGAACTGACAGGCATTTGTCACATCACCATACACTTGATAGACAGACAGGCATGTGCCACATCACCATATACTTCCTGGACTGACAGGCATTTGTCACATCACCATATACCTCCTGGACAGACAGGCATTTGTCACATCACCATACACTTCATGGACAGACAGGCATTTGTCACATCACCATACACTTCATGGACTGACAGGCATGTGTCACATCACCATACACTTTCTGGACTCACAGGCATTTGTCATGTCACCATATACTTGATGGCCAGACAGGCATGTGTCACATCACCATACACTTCCTGGACTCACAGGCATTTGTCACGTCACCATACACTTGCTGGACTGACAGGCATATGTCACATCACCATATACTTGATAGACAGACAGGCATTTGTCACATCACCATACACTTGATGGACAGACAGGCATGTGTCACATCACCATATACTTGATGGACAGGCAGGCATTTGTCACATCACCATATACTTCATGGACAGACAGGCATTTGTCACATCACTATACACTTGATGGACAGACAGGGATGTGTCACATCACCATACACTTGATGGACAGACAGGCATTTGTCACATCACCATATACTTCATGGACAGACAGGCATTTGTCACATCACTATACACTTGATCGACAGACAGGGATGTGTCACATCACCATATAGTTCCTGGACAGACAGACATGTGTCACATCACCATACACTTGATAGACAGACAGGCATTTGT